GTGGCGCCAGAGGACATGTTGCTGCCGCCGCGCGTTCTGACTGCTGACGAGCTGTGGCGGGCGGGCGTGCAGGACGATGCCGCCGCCGCCGTCGTCGGACGTCGTCGTCGGACGTCGTCATCGTCGGACGTCGTCGTTGGACGTCGTCGTCGTCGCCGTCGTCGCCGTCGTCGTCGTCGTCGTCGTCGTCGTCGTCGTCGTCGTCGTCGTCGTTCGTTGGAGGCTCAGCGGCTCCAGTCATCGCGCCCGCTCCACCGAAGGCCCCAGTGGCGCAGTTCGCATGCGTTTCCCGTACCCAGGGCAGCGTTTCGTGGCCCCATAGAGAGTTCCACCGAAGGCCCCAGTGGCGCAGTTCGCATGCGGTTCCCCCACCCAGGGCAGCGTTTCGTGGCCCTATAGGGAGCTCACCGAAGACCCCAGTGGCGCAGTTCGCATGCGGTTCCCCCACCCAGGGCAGCGCTTCGTGGCCCCATAGGGAGCTCCACCGAAGGCCCCAGTGGCGCAGTTCGCATGCGGTTCCCCCACGTCGGCGCATAGCGCTTAACCTTTCGAGCGCACGCGTGACGCTCACCGTTTTCTGGTACAGCCCAGACGCTGAAATAAGGACCACTTGTGGCTCAGTCGGGTGTCTGGTTTTCGGGCGGCTGTGTAGGGTTGGGTCGGGGAGCCTGTTCGTTGCCGAGGCTCGGGGTTGCCAAACGCAAGCCATTTCGTTCCATGTTCAGCGTTCCTTTCCAGATCTCAGACGCCCGACGTCGATATTTGTTTCACAACGCGGCGGACAAGAGGTCTGTACCTCTTCCCGTGGACCAGCTTTTCATCCTGAGCTGGGTTTGCCGGTCGAGGCCCGAGAAGGGCCCCCGGAGGCCGAATCTTGCAGAACGAGGTGATTGCCAGCGTGGACCTCAAACTGTTGGATGTTGTATTGTGGACGTGGGAGCTATGCAGTGTCATCGGTGAGGTGTGATCTGTGTGGTGTGATATGTGAGGTTACGGTTTGCGGCGCAATGTACATTGTGCAATCTATTTGGTGCGAGTCATGCGGTGTAAGCTATGTGCTGCAGCCCAAGTGGTATGAGCTATGTTGTATCAACTATGTGGTGCAATCTAAGTCGTGCAAGCCATGTAGTGCAGTCTATGTGGCATTTGTTGGAAGCTGTGTGATGCAGCCTATGTAGTGTGAGCTGCGATGTGCGAGCCAGCGCACGCACGGTGCGCCACGAGGCGGGCACGGGCGGCAACGCGGCGACACCTCGCTGGACCCATCCCAGTCCTGAGTGGTACAAGTCAGGATGGCCCCATGAGTGCAAGCACCGTTTGGGGAAAGTTGCCGTCGTGAGTGTTTCGCAACGCGAGGACGTGAGGGCTCAGCGTTCCTGATGTCAGGCGATCGCAAACATGGATCAAGGCGGCGTTGATTAGCTACGGGTCCCGTTTCCAAAGGAAATCGCGGATTTCCGCCGCGAAACGAGGCGGCACCGGCCGCATTTTGGGGAGGCTCCAAATCCTCGAATCGGTAATCCATGCTTGCGCGCCCCCGATGATGGTACCTTCGGACTGCCCAGGGAGGCGCACTGGCACGCACCTGCTGGCTGCCCAGGGAAACGTCCTGGCACGGCAGGCACGCTCGGGCTGCCCAGGGAAGTGTCCTGGCAGGCAGCTTCGGGCCGCTCGGGGCAGCGCTCCGGGGTGGGCACCTCTTGCCCCCCATGCGGCCGCCGCCGCTGCAGGAGCCGCCGCAGGGCGGGCACGCGCCCGTGGTCCTGACCTGGCCCTACGCCGCGGACCGCGTGGCCGAGCTCGACCTGCAGGCGCTCCCCGCCGCCCGCGTCTGGCCGCCCCCCCCCGCGGGTCGGCCGAGATCCGACGTTTCGCAAAACGTACTGAAGATCTGGACGTCCAAAGTCTGCTGCCTGGGCCACGCCGCGCGAGTCGCGATCCTCTCGGCACCCCCGCAGGTGACCCAAGACAACCCTGAGATCCGACGTGGCAACAAAGTTGCAGCACCGTGACAAATCACGACGGAAGTCCCGGACCCCATCTTTCTGCACCAGTTTTCGAGCCGGATCGATCCGTGAGGGCCCCGTGGCCCAAAGCTGGGCGAAAACGTCCGGCTCGAAGAAATGGAGTCGCCAGGATCTCAGGGCGGCGGCCGCACGCCGCGCTGCTGGCGGCCTCGCGCCCCCCCCCCCCAGGCATCGGCAACGCCTTGGCATCATCCAGGCGGAGGCTCTGCGCCGCCTTCGGCCCGTTTCTTGGGGGCCCGTTTTTGGGGGGAGGGCCCGCGGCCAGCCGAGAACGACTCTCGGGACGGGAAGCAGGTCCGAGAACGGCTCGAGGCGCAGGAGGAGGAGGAGGAGGAGGAGGAGGAGGAGGAAGAGGAGGAGGAGGAGGAGGAGGAGGAGGAGGAGGAGGAGGAGGAGGAGGAGGGGGAGGGGAGGCGGAGAAGGAGGAGGAGGGGGAGGGGAAGGAGGAGGCGGAGGAGGAGGGAGGAGGAAGAGGAGGAGGAGGAGGGAGGAGGAGGAGAAGGAGGAGGGGTTAAACACGAAGTGTTGCATGTAACAATTGTCAGTGCGAGGGCGGCGGGGGACCACATGGTCTTATCCCTCCGCCAAGCCTCTGGGGGGCCGAATTCAGCCTTGTCCCAGAGGCTCATGGCAATAGGGGGGACATTCCGTCCTTATCCCGCGCCGTGGCTTCTCCCAGGTATTCCTGGCCAAAGATGCCCATGTAGCTCCCTAAGTTGCCTCCCATCCTGCACTATCCTGTCTTGCCTTGCTTAACATCGTTTCCCCAATTCGGCTTGCCCTGTCGTTCGTTGTAGGAGTCTTCGGGGCTTCCCATCTCTTCCCATATTTTGCATGTCTATTGCTATTTCAAGTTCATGCGAAGTTGTGAACTTGACTTTCCCACCGCATCCCTCCCTGGGGGGGTCCAGCAGTCGTCACAGACGTGACCAGACCAATCCTGGAGCGGGGGGTCCGGCAGTCGTCACAGACGTGACCGGACCAATCCCGGAGCAGGGCCGCACCGCAATGGATAATTGAGGCCGGAGTAGTACATGGGCGGTTGGGCGGGACAGCACGTACATAAGTGTTGGAGGAGGAGGAGGAGGAGGACGGGTAGCAGGTGGAGGGGGGTGTCGGTGGATGATGAGGAGGAGGACAGCTGTGGGGAGGACGGGAAGATGGGGAAGAGGAGGCGGATGACGAAGGACGAGGAGGAGGAGGAGGAAGATGAGGAGAAGGAAGAGGAGGAGGAAGAGAAGGAAGAGGGCTGTCGCACTTCGGCACACACGCGACGGCTTGCATGGTCTGAGCGTGGCTCTCTTTTCCTCCAGGCCCTCCTCTGGCCCGCCATGGTGTTCCATCCATCGCGTACCATCTTGGGATCATTGTCCTCCTCTATATCCGACTGTGCGAAGCCATGGTAAGATATCGAGGAGGAGGAGGAGGAGGAGGAGGAGGAGGAGGGGGATGAGGAGGAGGAGGAGGATGAGGATGAGCATAAGCATGAGGAGAAGGATGAGGATGAGGATGAGATGAGGATGAGGATGAAGATGAGGATGAGGATGAGGATGAGGATGATGATGATGATGATGATCATGATGATGATGATGATGATGATGATGATGATGATGGTGATGGTAATGGTGATGGTGATGGTGATGGTGATGATGAGCATGATGATCATGATGATCATGGTGATTATGATGGTGATGAAGCTGCTGACGCTGATGATGATGATGATGATGATGATGATGAGGATGAGGATGAGGATGAGGATGAGGATGAGGATGAGGATGAGGATGAGGATGAGGAGGAGGAGGAGCAGGAGCAGGAGCAGGAGCAGGAGCAGGAGCAGGAGCAGGAGCAGGAGGAGGAGGAGGAGGAGGAGGAGGAGGAAGCAGGAGGAGGAGGAGGAGGAGGAGGAGGAGGAGGAGGAGGAGGAGGAGGAGGAGGAGGAGCGGGCGCCCCCCCCGGCCCATTTCGTGCCCCACTCCACCTCGGTGCGCCCCGCCGACGGTCGCGCGCTACATGAGATCCCATCGTGGCCACCGCCCACAACATGTGCGGCGCGCGGCGGCGAGAACCGCATTGAAGGTACGGCCGAGCGCTGGCAAGGGAAAGCTGACCATCGTTCATGCGTGCACCATGCGTGCAAGTGTTGGATATTCAAGCTTCGGGACACAGCACTGTGTAGCACTCCCCGTGCGACCCTGCGGCGGCACTCCCCCCTCTCCCCCCGCTGGCCCCGTCCGGCGGTAGCCGTCGGGCGCCCTCCCGCCATCGTGCTTTGGGCGACCTCATTGCATGATTCCGACCGTGCGACCGTTCAACCCTCCTGTTGCCGGGGGCCCCTTCCGAACCACTGTCCCCGTCCCCATTGCATTACGTACTCCGACCGTGCGACCGTCCGGCGGCCCGATCCGCAGCCCAGACATCCTTAAGACGGCCACATGACGGCCCACAGAGGTCAACAAGTGACTGCCCCCCCACACGCCTGATTGTATTGGTCTTTGGCGTGGAATGATGTTCACATGTGCAAGGAGGAGGGATGGAGGAGCATGAGGAGGACGAGTAATATCATGAAAATGAAGTTGAGGAGGAAGAGGCCGGAGGAGGGAGGAGGACTGACGGAGCTGGACGAGGAGGAGGAGGAGGAGGAGGAGGAGGAAGAGTAGGATGAGGGGAGTGGAAAGCAGGACGACAAGGAGGACGATGAATACTACAAGAACGAGCATGAGAAGAAAGGGGAGGATGCGGAAGATAATCAGGATGAGGATGAGGATGAGGATTAAGATGAGGAGCAGGAGGAGGAGAAGGAAGATGAGGAGGAGAAGGAGGAGGAGGAGGAGGCGGAGGAACATCAGGGATGACGTTTAAGATGGGGAACTTGGAGAAGAGGGGAGAGGAATAGGAAAAGGAAGAGGAAGATGAGGAGGAGGTGAATGAGAGACGATGGACTAGGGACGAGGGTCGTGGGACGGGGACCGATGGACGAGGGTCGGGGGACAAGGGTCGAGGGACGAGGGACGAGAGTCGAG